AAAGGTCCACGCTATTTTCATCATCAACAATCGATCCGCGAAAGTTCACTGTTTGAACAGGAATAAAGTGCGTTGCTTCATGTGCCGATTAGGTACGGCGTTTTACGCTTATGTCTGTACACTTACGGGTCATTGGGCACTTTAGAAAAATGCATTTAGAGAAGTGTACTGCTATAAGTTTCCACATGAGCTATCATTTGTGACCAGGTCGTTGCTGAAAAAGAGCTACATAGCTCAGTGGGTCTTACTTGGTAGAAAAAAAATGGTTTTGTTTAGTTTTTCAGCATGGGACATCATTCTATATTTGTTGCTTGTGAGTTCACGTAAATGTTTTTTTTTTGTTCCAGCATTACATGCCAAATGCGTGCACTGCACACGCCCGGAAGACTTCGCTCAATTTGCTGGCTTAGTGGTTTTGCATGTTCTGTTAAGCACATCACAAGTGTTGTTGCACGCAGTGGTCACCGCTCGCGTGTCACGGAAGCCGAAATCGACACGTTGGGTGATACATTACCGAGCAAGCAAAGAATGCATTCCCCCGGCACCGTGGCATGTTTTTTTGTTGTTGCAGGCAAGGTGGAACCGGCTCCGTAAGGAGTTCCTTAGGCCGAGTGGGGAATTGCATGGGCATAATTTGATGGCGTAATTCAAAAGCCAGTAACCTTAACGCCATGAGCGAGCGTGGCCAAAACCACCTCCTTACCGTTGGAATGGAATGGTATTGGCAATGATTAAATTGTTGTAAGGGGGCTATTATAGTTCACTCGGATGAAAGTGGAAGCATAAATTGAAACAAAAAATCCGTTTTGTAGAGAATCTTCGTTTCCGCCTACTTTATGTGAGCTCGAGGATAGTTCTTCTCTTCTGGTTCTTACGTTTCCTACACGGTGACTTTGTTTTGAAGTCAACATGGAATAACATTGAGAGGCAGTGTGAAATACTCTTTGAGATACGTTACAACTGCAACACAATCACGTGCAAAATCAGCTTCCGTATCATCAATAAAATCATACTGAAGCATTGTGGTGTGAAGAGGACAACGCATATTGAGCCGAGGCCTTTGTGCGGCGGTAATTGCTTTGCTGTGGATGGGAGGGTGCTCATTGTGTAGCACTTGACATGCACTGAATGAATTAATGTTGTAAAGTGGTACAAGCAAAGTCCTTGTTGTATTCTTATGTAATTACACATTTATGCCCCTGCAACGCTACGTGATACATTGTCTTTTTAGAAGTTATCGCAATTTTTTTGCTAAATATACCGTCCTTGCAATTAGAATTTTTTTTATGCATGTCTCTCACTTTGTTTTAATCGGGTTATTATTGTTACCTGATGGCTGTATAGCAACGATGCTATATAGTATCTAGGAAATAAATGAAATGCACGAATGGTTACTCAAATAACATAATAATAGGGTGAACGCTCTGTCGACTTTTCTGCACCAATTGTCTCTATTTTTTTTAGTCACGAACAGGACAGAATTCGCAGGATTTGTTTGCATATATATGCATACACACATATAAGTAGAGGAACATGGCTCACACACGGCTATGATCTTCCCTTGGCAGCAGAGCTGGGTGAGGGATAATGACGCAATTTTATTGTCCTGCCCTTTGGTTTAGTGTGTAACATTAAATGCCCCGCCCAATATTATTTTACCAATATACAGGGTTTTTTAATAGCATTATTTATGAGGCCATTATTTTGGGAACAAAAAAAAATGCAGATAACTCTCGCAGTACTTAAAATAAATAATAAGACGTATCTTCGTGAATATAAGTAGCGTGTCAGGCCGTGAAGTGCTCTTGGTTGGTTTTTCATGCATAAAAGGGCGTGCAAAGTGCCCATTATTAACTTGCAGTGAGATCCTGTGCACATGTTTTTCTGCACGTGTGCCGAACTAAGATAACAAACACGTTACAATGAATCTATGCATTCAATAAGCTAACTCGCGACTGCATAAAAGTAAACATTCTGAGGATGCAGTTATAAATGCCTTCTGCAATAATCTCAGAAGTTTATGTGTGTAGAAATACAGCAAGCATGTCATTCACTACAGTGTTCCTCATCATCATCAACAGCCATGAACCAATGCTGGATGAAGGCCTCCCCACATCATTTCCATCCCGTATGGCTTTGCGATTACATCATCCTCCGATTTGCACGGTTGGTTACGTACGGTGCGAAAGAAGTTAAACACACATACAAGATCCGTCTCACCCCTGCACACAAGCAAATTTCATCACTCCATGCCAACGGCGGTTGTTCTCTAAGGCTTGTGCTCACCTCTGGTTATCTCATGTGTCGGCCATCACCGCTTCTGGTGTAGTGTCCTACCCACTTACCACCTTGCTTAACAGTCGATAGGATGTCTCTCAATATCCGTTTGTTCCGTCGTACATGTATTAACGTTCTTCATCTCAGTGTACATTCCCAGCATGCATCTTGTCCATGATATTGTGTACTGTAGAGCTAGTGTTCCATTTTCTTTGCCAGTGTCAATGTTTACTATTCGTATATCATAGCGGGTAGTATGCTTATGACTGAAAACGGTTATATGTTTGGGACATTGATATGCGTATTTCATTGTCCGATTTCATTATAAGATTTATATTTCCAAAAATACTTTAGTCTCTGTTTCACCATCCTGATCTGCCCTTGTTATACACTGTTGTGTTTCAAGCTATGTAACACTGTGAATTATTAATAATACACCTTTTGGCGTCATCTGGTCGAGCGCCAATTGGGTCGAGGCTCAAAAGAAAGCCGTCCCTTGGTGTGGACCATTCAGTTTCAAGGACAATGCCACATATATTATCATAGCATATTTTTTGTTTGCATTTTGACTGCAGGTATTGTGGTTAATGCAGACATGAATCCTTGTAAAAAAAAGGTTTAAGTTTTGTTGCCAGAAAAAAGGGGAAAACCCCTATTATTACATTTTGGTACTGGCAAAGGAGGTCTAATGAAAATGACTGAATTATTTTTATGTTTAGTAAACTTGATGCACGTAAACTTTGACTTTGCTCATACGTCTCATGAGCATCGCGTTGCAGTCTTTTATGTAATATTTTTCAGTAATTTCCTGCAGTTCATTTTCAATCCTTTGAACAATTACCATGTTGTCAGCAAATCTGAATTTCTCAAATACAATTTTCAGAAATTATAATTTAACGCCACTGTGAATTGCCTTGGTGAGAGCATATCTCATTACATGACTCATATTATGGTTAGTATTGTTACTTTATTGATGCAATCTCAATGTAAGCGTTGCACCTTTCGAAATATCTTTGTTTATGTTGAATTTATTTCGCACCGTACATAGGCCACAATGCTAATCGGAGGTGCGGGTGAAGGACAAACCAAATACAAAAATCAGTTCTAAAGAAATGAACTCGGTTCGTGTGAACCTGAATGACTACATCAATTTCCACTGACTAAAATGTATTTTCCATGTCTACAAAAGCCAGACATAACCATAATGCATAGGATCGCATATGCATTCAACATTCAAGGTCTCTGTGAAAATACACAATTGTTCATTCGACTTGTTTGAATCTGCTGTAGTTCACAGCCTCGACAATTAAGACGGGCATATTGCCCTCGACACTGGGATCAACCTGAACCACGAACATTTTCTGTAACACTGCAAAAATGCGCTTGACGTATCTTGGTTTAATTCCTTCCACAGTTTTTTTTCTTCTGAGGACCTTTTCACGTACACACACACCAACGAGACATATACAATATACACATGCAGACACAACAACAACAAAAGCAGCTGCCATTCGACACTAAATGGAGGTGACATGACCACAGTGCTCGTGCCAGGCTAAGTGCACTTTGAGGCCACGTGATGTGTCGAAGGCTGACTAATTGAGATTGGCTGGCAGATGCACTACCTGCGTCCCCCGCTGTGGAGGCAAAACAAGGACAAAGATCCGCCGTACAGCATTAACAGACTGGGAAAGTGCTATTTGTGAGCACCGATGAAGGCCGGCACGGCACGCCGGGGGTGGGTAGCCAGTGCTGATCTTTACACACTGTACCAGGTATTCATTTAAGGTAGAGTCGACCTAGAGGATACCCAGGACAGGTTCAGATATTCACCAAATGTATTGGTCGTAAGCAGGAATCGAACTCGGCCTCGCCGGGTTTGTAGTGGAGTGCGCTAACCATTGTTGCCACCTTTGGTCCTCCCCACACACACACACACATCACTTACGTGAGTAGCCGCGTACAGGCAGATGAACAAACGGATCACACGGACAAACGCATTATAATTTTAACATATTTTTTTTTCATGGAGATTTGCTCAATGCAAAAACAGTACTTTCAATATTTGATGAAAGAGCACCAAAAAGCATCCATTGGGCATCTTGCCCTTATGTCAACGCAATTTGAACGTCTCCTGTGACTGCACACAAAGCAATAATGCTAAACGCAGGCAAGAGTGCTCAACCGCATCATTTAAAATAACGACACGACAAAATGGAGTATTTAATAATGGGCCACATGCTGGAACAATGGACAGTTGTGTGTCTGTGTGTCAGGACATATCATAAGCCACGATTCATGTAACCGTAGTAATGATCTATTTTACCTGATCATCAATTAGAAAGTTATTTATATATATTCCCTTCCATTTAAGCCATCTGAAGCTGCCAAATGTGGCAACAGTTAATAATTAAAAACCAAGTGAAAGAATGCCATATTACTAGGCAGCAGCAGCAGCAGCAACAACCGTAGCTCAGAGTAAGCCGAAAGCTGCCAGCACAATTTGAGCACGTATCTGCCGAGCCTAAACCAAACTGTCTTGCCACAGGATATGAATGTCACGTCCTGTGAATATCCCCTCCTAAATATCGGGGACGAATGAATATGACAGGCGTTTCAGCGTGTTACATTTCCACAATGTCGTCTCGCACCGCTTTCTTCCATTCCGAACCGGACGAGAGCACGGATGTCTGCATATTCCTCCTCCCCGCCACCGACCGCAGACAGCAACTTCGTGCTGGGCAACGCGCAGGTGTCCAACGGCTACCCCATCGTCTACTGCTCGGATGGCTTCTGCGAACTGACGGGCTACTCGCGCGGCGAGGTCATGCAGAAGAACTGCGCCTGTCGCTTCCTGCACGGCGACGAGACGGGCGAGATCGCCACGCTGCGCGTGTGGGAGGCCCTGGAGGAGAAGCGGGAGTTCAAGACCGAGGTGAAGCTCTACAAGAAGGACGGTGAGCCGTCGACGGCGGTGTTACTTGCTTGGCCGAGAAAGGCTCGCCGAGTTAGGGGGGTCCCGCGTTGAAATCGTTGGCCTCTTTTTTTTTGTTTGTTTGTTTGTTTCAAACGAGTGTTCCCCTATGTGGAATCGAAATGAAAGTACCTGGGGGGGGAGAACAAAAAAAAACGCCAACCCATATGAGGGGGATACCATATATATATATTTTTTATTTTTTTGTAAAATAACACTCAGAGCCGGGATATCCGATGATCTTTCCAATCACTCGAATAATGGTATAACACGAAACCAGTTGGAAAATAGGTTTTACCTCTGTTGCCAATGTGTGCCGCTGGACGGGAGGTAATGGGTGTGGCTCGGGGCGGCATCGTCAATGTCATCAGCTGCGTCACGTTGGGCGTGGCTTGCTCGGGGGTTTCCTGCCTTCGAGAGGCAGGGTGGGGGTTTGGCTGCGAGTATTAAATGAGCCCGAGTATACAACCGCGAAAATAACATGTACATTACAAGTTTTCGTCAATGAATTATAAAAAAAATTATGAACCAAGCAGAAAGAGCACATTTGGTTGGAAATGCTAACATGCACCCTGTAGTATACACATGTATGAGTGTGGCACAATTAATCTGGTGTCAGTAGAGCCTGATAGGCTTTGGCCCATATTAAGATGTCACTGAAATAAGCAATGGTGCGATGTTATGGTGTGCAACCGCACATTGATCCATTGCCTTTAAAGGCATCTTCTGGTAACTGCTGAAAGCAGGTGGACGAATCTTGTAAGATAAGGCTAGTATTAGCAGTGACATGAAGTGCATAAAGCACGTGTTGAAGTTATCTTTTATTTTTGCAGTAACACAAAACAATGTTTCGCAGATTAAGAGCTTACTGTGATAGCAGTAGCTTAAGATTTCATAAGGCTATCGACGTAGCATACAGATGTGCTAACACGGCTTTTGTAAGGTACACCCCTAGATGAAGTGGAAAGGATCCAGAAAAATCGGTTCAAGGGGCATGCATAGTAATCTCTAATGCGTTGAATAACAAAACGTTATTAGAATCTGCGCAGAAGCGTCTTGTGTAGGTTAAGGAGCCACGTTGACAAATACAAAGAAATGTAAGAAATAAATAACTTCATCGTGTAAGACAAAATCATAGCAAAGGCATTTGATTAAAATGTATGCGTGTGTGCAAGAAAATATCCAAGGTTTACGGACATATGTAAAACAAAAACGTGGTTAAAATTATGACGATATACTGTACAGGAAATGGGAAATATGAAACAAATAAAATATTGCTTCATAGTGAATGACAATGAGGGATACCACTGCCAGCAACACGATATTTTGTGTGATATCGATGTCATTATGCATTGTGTTTTCTTGATTTCATTTTCGGAGGAAGCGTAGTATCTTTGTATTCACAGTCAGAATGTGTGAAACACTGCCCCGTTTGTTTGTTTTTTTCCCCACGGCGAGACTTTCTTACGATGAAACATTTGTGATACTGCATTAGCAGTGGTACACAAGCACAAATAACAAAAGCTAAACACATTGCCTGAATATTATCTTCATCGCACGGTATTTCCTCTTCATGGCATTGAAATTGATAATGAGTTGAGAATATATTTAAGGTCAATATGGATTTTCTTCCACAATCGCTTTGCTAATCAGAAATAGATCAAGAACGTTTCCTTTTTTTCAGTTTTACAGCTTCGTGGCTGCAAACATGATGTGACCACGAGGTCGTTCTCCCTGTGAAGACCTTATAGATTATGTTTAACCCATTTAGACAGCTCTCTATGCCTGTTGATTTTACTCAAGGGGTTTAGGGGTGGATTATACCAAAAATATTAATCAGATACTCTTTGAGTCCTTACCGAAAGACCCAAAGAGTATGAATCCCTGCAGTGACGAAAGCTTTAATTCAAGATTAAACAGATATTTGTTCACACTCTTAAGCTTGCAATGTCGTCTGTAAAAGTATAAGTAACTAAATTTTGATTTAAAGCTTTCATGACTGAAGGGATTTATATTCTTGGTTTTATTATTTCTTCCCTTACACGTGACTTTACCGAAAGAACCAAGAATATAAGTAAATAGTTTGCATCGGACTTCTTGTGTTTTCCCCCAGTTCGTATTAAATTAAATTCATACCTGACTGCTTTAAATATATATTTTATATATATAGAAAATATGAAACTACTTTGTTTTAAACATGGGACATGAACCGAGATCCCCTTGTTCGTACTGTGGTGCTTCGGTCATTGCGCATTTCCAGGAGAAATTGGATTTCTGTTTTAATCATTGTCACACGACAATGGTGTCCTGTCCTTGGCTTCTAGGTGCCACTACTGATTGGGCAGTCTTCATCAGATATAGGAGACCCGTGGGACCACAAGTCCTGGCTTGGTCACTGGAAATGTGCACTTTTCCTATAAAACGGTGTTTGATACGGAAGCTAGCTGAGCATTAGAGGCACTATTATGGAACACTTCATGCTTACTTGTCTTCGTGCCTTTGGCCCTTTGGTTACTGGAGTGCACTCAAGTGATTAATGCTGTCGTATGGGGATGCAAGGACTTCCAATAATCTGTAATTGTATCCATTTTAGGCTGTGTGCTTTAAAAAAACAAAACAACTCCCTTGCATAAAATTGTGGTACTGTGTTTGCCTTTGTCAAAATTATACTCTGTTTTCAGAAGATGAAGAAGGAAGCAGAGATGGCCAGCGTGGTTGACAGAGAGATGAACGATTGTTGATTTTTTTGAATGGCTTTGGGTCAAAATCAATCTTTTAACAAATGCCTTTGTTTAAGTTTGTCTTGTCTTTAGTCTGTGCTAGATCAAATTCTGCCTCCCTAGATGACAAGACTTGCGATCAATCAGACATTGGGGAACACGATCAAATGATCAACAATGAATAACTCAATTAAACATTTTAATTCCTAAATAGTGGATCATTCTCAAGTTTGATAAACCACCCATTAGTTTAATATTGATATTTTAAATGTAAACTTTAATAAATAACTAATTTACTTCTCACTTCTACTTCCCTTTTATCCAGTATAACTACGACTTATCGCTATTGAATTAAATAATCTCTGCACCCTATGATTGTTTGCTTTTTCGTCTATAAATCCAGATAGGGTTTTTATTGCATCATTAGTATGCCTTTTAATGGCACCATATTTGCATGAGTATCACACGGCAAACGACAGTCTGCAGTGAATGTGGTTCAATTAAGGGTCGGGTGTGTTTACCTGGATGGCTTATCCAGTTAGGTGGACGGTGAGGGTTCATGGGGTACGGGGACACGGGTGTGACCATGTCAGTGATGAAAGCAACATGTGTGGCTTAAGCATAACATACACTCGATTCATATATCTATGCATAGTCCAATCACTTCCAGTGGATGCTCTAAATAAATCGCAGCCATGAGTTGTTGTTCACTACCCACCCCCAACCCACCCACCCCACACACCTGGACAGAAAATAGAGCTTGGAAAAGAGAATACAGTAGCATGTATGAGATTAACGAACCACGCCACGTTTGTTCACCGTGTGGTTTTATGATTTTTTTTACAAAATTGACACTGTGCTTTTTGAACAAATATTGCATTTAATTATTAACGGCGGTGGGCTGTCTAATTTTCAACCCAGCTTAATACGCCGAGCTTGTATCGCAGAGACAAGGATGAAGACCATTCTCCAGTCGTTCTATTGAGTTTAGAGAGGTGCAGCTGAGGATAAGGTTATGCCGGAGGGACTGTGTTGTTTTGACAAGCTCACGTTACTTAAAAAAAAAACCCTGTGATTGCTGCAATTCAGAGTTAAATGGGACATCGAAAAAGAACAATGGAGATTATGCAATTTCATTGTGCTTTTCTGCAATGCCAAACATCACAAGATGGATCGTTGTTATATACCATCGTTGTTATATACCATCGTTGTTATATACCATCGTTGTTATATACCATCGTTGTTATATACCATCGCCGTTACCTACAGGAAGCAATGGCAGCCCTTTTTCAATTACTACAATAGGTATTTTTTTTACATTTTCAATAAAACGTGTCACTTCATCTTAGTCTTATTCACTGTTAATTAAGGACATTTAAAATCACATTTGTAATACTGTAACAACTGGTATGAACTGAGAATAACGGGCTATTTATGGTAGTTCTACGGTCACAAAGAGCCATGGCACGTTTGCTAGAATTAATTTGCTTATCTAAGAGAAGAGAGGATGCCGACTCAGCGTCAGTAAAAAAAATGATAATGGAGCAAACATCAAATGATTCTGCTCATTAAAAAAGGAGCGACCAAGGCAGCTCCCGCAATGAGTCAACACATGTCAGGCTTTGAAGAGGGTATGGCGACATTGAGGACATTAATAGGAAGCAATGCACTGTCGCAGTACAAGTTATTCCATTTGCCCGCAAAACTCTGTGGTGTGCGCTCCAGATTGTTTTGCTAAACATGATTAATCGTTGTCAGGCTCGACTGTATGAAAAAAAGCACACATTTCTATAAGCAGATTATACCAATGGCAAAAAAAACAATTATCCCCACCCACACGTGATGTAATGTCCAGTTGTACATATTCCCTTATCAATTATGAACACCGAGGCAAATGTGGCATCCTTTGATTTACACAGTAAGGTGAATACTTCAGATCTGTAATGTAACTCCATCGTGCTCTCTGAGATTTTGTTCAAATGAGCACAATTTTTGTTTTAATGAATGTTATTACACTCTGCTTCAGTTGGGTGACATGTTCGTTCCATAAAAAACAGTGTTTTCTGTCACCTCACGCCTTCACAGCCACATTATAATGGCATGAGTGGCTCCTAAACCACTTGAACGTGTGGGAAACGGGTACGTGCTGTTACACTGTTGTGTACAAATACTTCTCTACTTCCGAACGAGTTAGGTTCCAGAGGACTGTTCGTAAGTCGATTTGAGTCCAACTTTACTCCTGTCGATTTCAAACATGTTGTACGGCATGCACACTAAATAGGGAGAATGGCTTTAAAAGTTGTATAATCTTCTGTAGATGTATAGATGGCACTGGTTCTTCATGTTCTGCAGATGTAGATGCCACCACCGCCATCTATTGCACGGCGGTTTAACTTACGCCTCTCGGTCCGTAACAGGCAACTGGACATACGGACAGGTTTATTCGTACCTCTGAAAGTTCGTAAGTCGAATGATTGTAAGGATAACAGTCCCTGTAGTTTATGGGAAACATTCTGTTCTACGATGGGCTTTCATAATTGTCAGTGTTTCAATCATGGCCTTCAATGCTATACTTGTATTATATAAAATCAAGATTGTATTGTTTGTTTTCTGCACTTAATTTTAAGTAAAACAATTGCGAAAAAAATGATATATATTGTGCATCAAGAAGAAATGTTGAAAAAAATTCATTTCGTTTTAAAAAGCCCTGACGAAATTTGGTGTGATCTTTTTTTTTTAAATTACGTTTTAATGGGTATCTTTTCATTAATGGCAACAATTATGCTCAGTCTATTGGCCAATCATACTTCTATTTGAGGTTGAAATGTCTTCAATTAACCTTTCAACCGCGTAAGTGCTCATCTACAGATCGGTCCAAGTATCCAGACAATTGTAGGCAGCTTGCCCATGCGACCTTTAAGAGTTGCAACAATGGAATAGAATTTCGCTAATGGCGGTGCATAATGTGTCAATGTAATTTTTAGGATCGTTTGTTAGGACGAGGCGGATTTATTTCGAAGAATTACCTGGCGAAGAAGGTGATCAAGCAGTCGTCTGCGAAGAGTGTTTTGTTGAGCAATGGGCAGTAGAGACTTTGTCATGTCACAGCCAGGCAGCATATGACCAATCACATCATGTCCTTTGCAATCACCGTGTTAATGAATGCATTATATACAATACTGCTTTACAGTATCGACACCATGCCATGAATCAGGTCACGGCAATTGACTTTCACCTTCAGCAAGATCAAACTATGTGTTCTATTTTGGTGAACAGAGTTCATAGCAGGGCCAATCAGACGTTGCGACAGAATGTTATTTAAACTTAAGACTGCTTAAATGTCTCTGTATGCCATGCATGGGTTGGCTGCGCAGTAATTCTGATTAGCATGGTTGGCTACATACGGTGCAAAATAAGTGCAACATACATACAACACCTAGACAAAAAAAAAGAATATCTACTCGACAACATTATTGTCCGACGAGTATTTTTACACTGTTTTACACCAGAGTTATTGTTTTTCTCAGTAGATTTCTACTTTCATCTATTTTTTTTATCCCGTAATAGTTTTCTCATGACATGGAAATTAATTGAATCGACATGTTTCGAGTCATGCTTTGTTTGCTGCAGTATTTTGCATTTTTGCACCACCGCATTACAGACAATATCTCTTTGACCCAACATGAACGATATGCAATAAAATCGCACGTACATATCAAATGCATTTTGCTCCACATATAGCTTGGAGTTTCTTTAGCATCTGGACATTCAGTAAAGCACAACGGAGAGCTTCTACAGCACAACCACCAAAACAAATGCAATGGTATTCGAGACAATTTACGAAATAATTTATGTGAATTTCTTGTAACGTGGAACTTCGAATGTGTATCTCATTTACAGGAACCCCGTTCATGTGCCTTGTGGATATTGTCCCAATAAAAAATGAGAAGGGGCAGGTGGTCCTCTTCTTAGCCTCCTATAAAGAAATCTCAGATAAGAAGGTCAAGTTTGCTGTGGACAGCGATGGTGACAGTGATGAGGATGGTAAGACATGTATGTTCTGACCTTGCCATTTCACCGCAAAGCTGGGATTGGGCTGAGTGTGTGTGCGTACAGTTTTGTTTATATGAGGTGGAACGGCGGGCTATGAACCAACTGACCTGAGTTTAATTCTTCTGCAACAGCTAACATCATTAGTGAGGGACATTATCCGGTCATGGATTCCCTCCTTCACTAACCCACATAGACCTGCTCGGTAAAAAATGGATAAACATCCCCAATAATTGACATGATGTAGCGTGGAGGCCTTCATCCAACAGTGGGTTGACAAAGGGCTGTAATTATTATCCATAATACAGGTTTTTTTTTTTAGTTAGCTCGCGCAAACATATAAATGTGACCTTGGTACGTTATAGACATGTGGGATCTTCATGACGGCTGCAGGACCACCAGTTGCTAATTTGTACAATGGAGAAACACAGAGAATGTTTGTGTGTGTATATATATATTTTAGGGTTGTTAAAAGCATGTTTTTTTGGCACTTTTGGTAACCACATTAAAATAAAAATAAACACGAATCATGGTTACTGGTTTCACACATATATAGAAATGTCTCGAGTGATGAACAAAAATATGCTTACCTTTTTAATTTAAAAACAAAAAGGTGCTGCTGAGGTGTAACGGTTAGCTAACTGGACTTGCCATTCAGAGTTTGCTGGTCCAATCCCATCTCCTAGCACGACAGCTGAAATAACGGAACACGTTTCTTTTTAAATCTGCCCCCCCCCCCCATCCACCGCTATACACTCAGCAGTATAAATGGGTTTACCGCAGTCAGTCAATTGGCAGATCACGTGTGGTGGGGTAAAGTGTGGGTACGCTTAGTTGCCTGGTTCACAAACTCCGGTCTTCCTCGCAGCAGCTTTTGGCAGACCATCGGACAAAGACGGTCACTGCATCGCTCGCTTTCGGATGCGCTTCTGCGGCCGTCTGGAACGCTCTTCCGATATTAGGAAGCCACTGGAGCTACACACTTTCAAATTTAGATTGCAAACTCATTTCTTCACAACTACCTTTTTGTAGTTGGCCACGCACGGTGCGAAAGAAGTGCAAGATACATACAGTACATATACATACAAGAGTAGAACAGATGCCATCTCGAGCTCCCTCAAGTGGAGGTCCTTCCACCATCAGTAGTATGAGCAAGCAAGTAATAAATCGAAGGGTTGCAACTTCATCTGTTAACTGAGAAACGAGAGCAAATGAACCATATGAACCACGTGGTGAATTAGGCCGCAGTGCGGTTTGTACGTTCGCGCGTGCCAATCAGAGCATTCATTACCAACATTCCACAGGAAACGATTACCAGTTCCTGACTTTTGTAACCTGTCATCGACAGCTTAACGGTTATCGATTAACACGCCTAGTATATACACATCCATATGTAATATTTATACAGTCATCAATTTTTATATTGCTGTTTTTGTAACTTTTTTATCATTGTGCATTAAAAAAAAATTATGTACTGAGCTTCAATCAACAGCGCTTTATAAAATATCATAAATATATTGAGAAATTTGGCCACTCAACACGTTGCCAATACAATATATGACAAGAATGTGTAGAATTACAGCGAAGAGCAAGCCTTGCCAATTACTTTAATAAATGTCATAAACACTATAGATTACAAATTCCGGAAAAGCTAAGCACCAGGCGATAATAGGTTACTGCTGACGGATGATTTTAATTTTTAATATTGCATCTGTGTGATGTTTCATTGGCTTTGACAGAAGGGCATTTAACTTGTACACTTTATTTAATATGTAACACGAACATTCTAACATTTGTCACTTCCCGGCAACAATCACAAACATTTGCATCACTGTACAGTAATCAATACAGTTTTTTTTTTTTTTTAAATCATGCAAGCAAAAAATTTGAATTCAAATTTATCATGCCTACATCTTCATGAAGGGTCTCAACCGTCTTCGTGATTACACATTTTACACATCATACATTGTCACATGACACTGTTTAAAAATGTCATCCAGTATCTAAATTAAGATAATGTTCTTGTGCAGCTTACCGTGTAATTGAGCAAATGAGTATAGATTTAGTCTATGGGATATCTCAATTTGAAATAAGACGGTGGGGTTGGGGGTCCTTGATTGCTTCCTGTCTTGGACGCCCATCTGCCAGCACTGGTTGTGGGTGAGCAATTGCAGGACGACGCCTTTGCATTTTACCGATATGTTGCTCAATAGAATGTTGCACCTTTTATTTTCTTGACACGTACGCTGAGAGTGAAGCTGAGCGTTACTGAGCGCCTGCTGACCGCTGCGGTCCTATAGCGTGCTTGTAGTTGTCCCGCGAGGACAGGAGCCTTGCGTTCCACATCATCATTCTCGCCACACACTTTGCCCCATACATTACTACTTCGCCTTCTTCTTTCGTACGGCTGATTGTAGATGCAGAGCAGCAACTGCAATTTCACATTCAGGTGGTCAAGCCAGATAAACTGCATCAGGAGCAGATGAGTGTATCGCTGCGATGTCTACTTCGTATTTGTGGATCGGGGCATTGCATCGTTATACGTTGTTATGGCCTGTTCTGGGTTGTTGCAGACCATGCAACATGTAAACACGCAATGCCCGATCCACATACATTACCGATGGGCGGCAGAGACACGAGCACTCGCACACGTGGTCTTTCCGTGAGGTCAAAGTGGACGACTGCGTCAGCATGTTATTGAATCAACCCATTAATGGTGATGATTACGTCTTTAGAATACAATCCTACAATCTGCACCGTGTTGAACAAATCTGTTGCGCAGCTCATTGAGCTCGAAAGAATGTGTTATATGTGACAGTGCACCACATGGCTAACTACATTTAATACCGAGGTGATCCTCTGCACCTGTGAGTGTTGTTTTACGCTTGGTCAGAGCCGAGTTTGTGATTCTGCTGAAGATGCTGTGCGGTACATTGGTGGGGCTTTCGCATTGAATGTGCTCGGAATCATGAAGGCAGCCTTGTCTTTTAAATTAACTCTGCAAAATTCACATTTACAAAGTGATGGTGGAAATTAACAACTATAGAGGCACATTAGCTTGTAATTCTACACAGTTTATGTTTTGAAATAAATTGACTTGTTAACACGAAAGCTGGAATGGCTTGTGTTGTTACCACGAAATATTATTATAGGATATCTTAAGTTCCCAATCTTCTTCTTGGTATGGCTGATGTTGATTTAGAGCAATAACTCTAATTTTACAGGGAAGCGGTTGCACCAGATAATTGCATCAGGATTAGCGGAGCGTATTGCTAAGACGCCTCCTTTGTATATGTAAATCGGGCGTTGAGTCATTATTTGTTCCACGGTTTAATCTGGGTGACCAGTTGTTCACAGCGACTTTCGGCTGCAAATACAGGCTTAGCACTGAAGGAATACAGTGCCAGATGTGGAGCTCAACACGTACGCGTGCAGCCCCGTTTGTCAATCCACTGCTGGATGAGGGCCACCCACGCAGGCGGGTCGTGAGTGTCATTTGACCACATTTCACGGGACCGGTGAGTGCAGGTTGGTGAAGGTAGATCTGGGTACGGAACAGCACAGGTCGCCGTTCAAAGGGAGCTCGTCAGCTCGACTGGCCTTAACCTCACTCGCTAAAGTCAAAGGCAATGAAAGTCAATGTTGGATTTCGCTGCTCTCGCTTTCTACTGCCAATAACGCTTGCGACGCCTCTTTTGGTTTTTTTTTTAATGCACGGCGTGAGTCGCCCATTTAAGCGGTACCCACCAGGCTCAGGCCTGCTTAGATTCTAAGGTCTGACAAGATCGGGGTCGTTGCAGGTGATTTGGTCACAGGCAGTGCTCTACACTAAACTATTTTTTATTCTACCAGGTAAGGCCCACTGAGCTGTGTGGCTCTTCTGCAGAAGCGACCTCGCCACAAATGATAGCCCAACGAAGTGGCTTATTGCGTGGAAATTTCTAGCAGCCAAAACACTCTAAACGCCGTGATGTTGATTCTAAATGTGAGAGGGGAAAACCGGAGGACCCGGATAAAAATCCACACAACCACGGGCTGAACATGCAAACTACAAATACACAGGCATCGTCGGGGTTGCTATCCAACCCCACGACTTCCTTTATACCAGGCGAGGCGGATAACCATCTCGCCACGTGCTGCACGGCTCTGTCGTGGGTGCTCACGGTGTGCTTTGCGGGGGCCGTACGTGCCCTACAGGCCAGCCCGTGGCGCACAGGAGGAGGGACGGTGGGGCCCTCGGGGCGAATTTCAACCCGAATCGCCGTCGCAGCCGAGCAGTGCTCTACCACCTCTCTGGACACCTGCAGAAGCAGGACAAAAACAAGCTGAAGATCAATAATGTAAGCGCGGAGAGCCGGACCTGAAGCGTTGTGCGAGCAGATCAAACGAACTGCATGCCACATCTGGAGATGTTCTGATTCAGGCAGTGTCACAGTGTATGGTTTCACTCCAATGCAATATTTTATTTGTCATGTGGATTCATAGTTTTCCATGTTTGTGTTTGTATTTTGTTTAAATGCACTGATTTTGAATATCCTTGTACTGCGGAGAATCCATTGCCTTTTCTGATTGACAATTAAAAACTGAACCTAAAGGGGCTTTATCCAATTTACCAAGAAAAGTAAGGACATTAAAGGCACAGCAGGTTGTGCTGTAGAGGAAATGGATATGAAACAGGAGAGACACACCGTGTGGACTTGGCAATGCTATGTGCCAATTCAATTCCAGTATTCAAGTTCCTGACACATGGTGCTCAGGCACACAGAAGAACACGTTTACAATATTTTTTTTCAATGTCCCGACCATGGCAAATGTGTCACGAGTGAAAATGGAGAGAACAATTCCCATTAAATTTTGATTTAAAGCTTTCGTGACTGCAGGGATTCATATTCTTGGTTCTTTCGGTAAAGTCACGTAGAAGGGAAACAATAAAATATTAAAAATATAAAACAATAACATTCTCACGACATTTCGACTGCAACACAATCATCATCAGGTGTGAAACCCACAGCAAGAAAATTTGAAAAAAGTGGCGGTTTTTTTTTACGTTAGCACCACGGAGAGCGATTTGGCAGTTATTCAGATGGATGAGTCCATCTATGTTCGGAAAAGAGGAGGGTGGAGACGAAAATAATGGATGCGGTCTGAAAGCCACCGTAAGCGAGAACAATCAATTAAGACTCGAAATGGTTTATCAAATCCTTCCAATGATTGCTAAGCCAGAATCCATCTTCTCGGTTGAAATTGTCTCTGTGTTTGTATATGTGGATAACCTCATGAACGAATCTCTCCCCCTCCTCTTTTCCGAACATAGATGGACTCGTCCATCTGAATAACTGCCAAATCTCTCTCCGTGGTGCTAACGTTTAAAAAACCGCCACTTTTTTCAAATTTTTTTCTTGCTGTGGTTTTCACACCTGATGATGATTGCTTGTGTTGCAGTCGAAACGTCGTGATAATTTTATTGTTTTATATTTGTATTATTGTATTGTTTCCCTTCTACGTGACTTTACCGAAAGAACCAAGAATATGAATTCCCATTAAGTTAAATCATGTCAATGTTCCAATGAACTTCATATTATTATTATTTTAAATAGTTAATAGTTTTATATTAGAATGTTTCCAAACATACCTGTACATACCGTCCTGTTGGTATCATCAGCCACCAGTTTATTTGGGACACCTCCTGGTGTGCTCAGGACTTGTTTCACAAAAATGTATAGTGAAGCCTATAACACTGCATATCTTTGACATACCATATATATGCACAACACATTTCAATATTGGCTACAAATTATCCTTTTCCAAAGCACTTCCGAATGTCACTTGTTGAATTTATTTTCTGGTGATTCAAGGGGAATTTTAAGCGCTGCCACATTCGGCAGATGCCTTCGGTTACCGAACGAATACATTTATGAGGTCGCACTCATTATACACAAAGTGCTTGCCGCAAATGAACCACAGCATCCTGCTGATCTCATCAAGGAGCATAAATCATCACGTGAACTCTGGTCATTCTCGGAGCGGCTTTTGGCTAGCCATCGAGCAAAGACGGTCACTGCACCGTGCCCTTTCAGATGCACTTTGCAGCTAATCTGGAACGCTCTGCCTTATGATATTAGGAAGCCACTGGAGCTATTCACTTTTAAATCTAGATTGAATACTCATTTATTTAGAACTGCTTATTGTGTTTAGTTTGTTGTCCTTCCCCCCGCACCTCCAATTAGAGAGGTTGGCTACGTGCAGTGCGAAAGAAGTTCAACATGCATTGGGTACAAATGCTTCTCTTCTGTTTGATATCCCTTCATGTGGTGAGCAGTGCAGAGGCTCCCCGCACTCACTCTCCTTTTTTCTCTCTCTCCGCGCAGAACGTTTTCGGCGAAAAGCCTTCACTGCCCGAGTACAAGGTAGCGGCCATCCAGAAGTCTCGCTTCATCCTGTTGCACTACGGCACGTTCAAAGCAGGCTGGGACCTGCTTATCCTTCTCGCCACATTCTACGTGGCTGTGACCGTGCCCTACAACGTCTGCTTCTCCGAAACCGTCGAGAACATATCGGACCCACGCAGCACGGCCGTCGTTGATATCTCCGTGGAGATTCTCTTCATTATTGGTGAGTCATGTTGGGTCAAAACGATGCCACTGGGCTCTTCGCATTCTGTCCTTCGCACTCCCACACACGGAACCCGAAATGCCTCGTTCGCCTTCAAAATAATGGCATTAATATTTATTCAATTGATATTGAAGGATGTGAGTAAATTATGACTGTTTTGATGTTGCCTAATCATTCCCTTGCTGCACAGGCACATGTATGTGCATTCACAATATCCTGCGAGACCCTAAGTCACTGCAGCGTACATCATGCAGGGGCAGCCAATTGCAACTGCAGCAAAAGAGCATCTCCATGCAAAGGTTTACTTAAGGGAGATATTGCGAATTAACTGTAGTCAGTAATGAGGAATTGTTTCTAATCAAGGTTAAGGCAAGAGCATCTACATTCTTAAGTGAGAGTCATGCTGGGTCCATTCCATTCCTATCCTTGAACCAAGAATAGGAATAACACGCTCACTGTTGACTTCCCACAAAGTGGTACTTACATCACCAAATGATGATGATAATGATTGCTGCTGACTGGCACGGCCGCATCAGAGTCAAACAATTAGCTGTCACTCATAGCCTTACTGTTCATTCATTGCTAAGCTTTATGAATATTAAACTGGTTGCGCCAACATCAATAATTCTCGTGGCGTGGGCTTTTGAAAACACGTTTTAAAATTCATTTGTCGTTTATTCATGACCAGGTGTGAGACAACGACAGAAGATTTACTTTGGTGTCAACCCACTGCACATCAATTTATCTTTTAAGCTAATGCGAATTACGTTCTTGTTCATAAAGTGTGAGCGAATGCTCAGTCACTGATTTGAGCAGGAAGTGGGCCAATATTTGCTCTTTTGCTACGTGTATGTAGCTACCCAAATGTAATGTGTGTGATAGTCAGCCAGGACACTTCACTTTATCCATAGAGGCAGAAGCAAACAAGCAAAAACATTCTCATTATAATCATGAGTCATGATCTATGCACAGCTATAATACAGAGGGGTTTTTGGGTTAGATCGCGTAAATATACAAATGTGTCGTTAAACCCGCCACCACCCGACAGCCAATTTAACGACACATTTATATATTTAAACGATCTAACCCCAAAAAAACCCTGTATTATGGATGATGTAGATCGCGAAAGTTTACGTGTTAAACTATCCACAGCTGTATGAAGGCCTTATATAATACATGTCACTGCATCATAACAGGAGGCATGTTTCATAGTTATTGTTTCTGTCCTTGGTGGGGGAAACCGTGGCACAGTGGTTAGTGCACTCTGCTACGAACGTGGATCCCTGTATTCTCTTCCCTGCCATATCTAACAAATTATCCGGCCATGGCTGCACACCCCTCCACCAACTCATACTGACCAGTACGGTGAAGTATGACTAACACATCCCCATTGAAGTGAGGCCTTCGTCCAACAGTCGCTTGTTCGAGTTCATCAATTTGACCAGATGGTCGTTCAGCAGAGCTCTTGACTCATGGCGAGAGAGGTTGATGGTTCAAATCTCGGGTCAGGCAGGGGGTCGACTCAACGGACCATATTGTAAATGAGCACCAATCTGTGGGGAGGTGAGCAGCACTCGTCTCACTGAGGGAATGGTCCTCGCTGTGAGACGTTTTATTGTCCACCACTGATTTGAGGATCGCCGTAGAGATGAGCACTATTCATTTGAGACTGGACATACATACAACTGGCGCTCATCCAATGCACCGTGAACTTTCACCTCGCTCGTTGCTCAGCTTTTAATGGGGGGTTGGGGGGGGTCTCCTGGTTTATATTTGTAGTACATTGTCACAACGCCCTATGTTCTGGTTGTGTTTACGAGGTTTTTTTTTGTTTGTTCAGGTTTTTTTTTTTTGCCCTACTTTGTTGGCACAGCAGCAATGTTAGCAGGGCCTTGCATTAACAGGGCAATTAAGTCAGCGGTTTTTTAAAATATATATCAAGGGTGTATATTGACAACATTTTTCCTGAAAATCTTCAAGTGAATACTATTAGTTACTGCCTTCATAGATTAATTTAACTTTGATTGATATGCAGTGTCTTAATTGGTGCCAATTAACCCAGGTCTGGTAACCTTTGCATTCTTAAATGATGAATCGTGAGCACTGCCAGGCATGTGACAATGTGTTCTGTTAGAGTATACCTCCACCCTTATGATAATAATAATGCATGAAAAGCAGGAAACAAAAACAGAACCGGGGGGAAGGGGGGGGCAACCGACCAAACTAAAGAGTGAAGGCCATGTTAAAGAGGTGGGTTTTCAAAGCAGACATAAATATTGTATATCTACCCAATCTGATTGCCTGATTTGAAGTGGGAAGGCGTTCCATCGTTTGGAAGCCGTGTTAACAAAAAGCCCCGATCACCCACTGTTATGATTAATCTGCAGCAGAGTCCAGGAGTTGCATTTCAAGCGAATGTTTAATGGCCTCTAAAGCGTCACTGTGGCTGAGCGGGTATAATTGGTGGCATAGCGACTGCACACAAATAAAACAACAAACTGCATTGCTTGGACGCTCTGTTACACGGTACTGTAGATAATCGAGGTAGGGTAACCCATATATGCTCTAAGTCTTGGCCACCTTCTGCACAACAACAAAAAGAGTGGCAGTGGAAATGTTCTCATTAACGGAACCAATTTTGGAAGCGTATTGATTATTGTAATGTTTTAAAGGTCCTTCAGAGGAACTCTAAGTCGAATGGTTAATCTTGGGTGATTTGAATTTGTCGCAGTGCTTGAATGCCCATATATACTGGGCCATCTTCCATTATTTTTTTTAAAATTAGCATGAAAACCCATACTTGACCAAACATTTTTTACATGTTTTAAATATCTAATCATATATATCTTTTCACGTATCTTGTATAAAACACTATAGAAATATATAAATGCAAACGATGTTCCTGATTGCTTATTGTATATCGATCACCCTTAACTGATTTCTTAGTACAGTATATGATCATTGATTCCATTTGGTGTATACTGTTTTCAATGGTAAACCATTCGGTTATATTTAGTGTTGTTATTTTACAGGGTTTGCGATGGAAATTTCTATTTTAAGTGCAGGATTCTGATGTGTCGTTTGGAACACAGCGATATGGGGGATCTTGATCTGGAGACGCAAGGAGCAAAGCTGTGTTAATTAAGACCAGCACTAGGGAGGCATGTCCCACCAGGCACACTCTATTACTCATGCTCAAGGCTCATCTCACTTCCTGTTAATCGATTGTTTGGCCTACAACACAGCAACAGGACGTAATAAGCTTGGCAATTAAATCCGCAACTTGCGAAGCACCCCAAGGAAATGTCACATTCTTGTCACGCGGTGAACTCTGTAGTCATCCCACAGAGTCTCCGCAGTTGTTTAAGGCATCAAAGTAGCAGTTGTGAAACCCACATTTGTTTTTCGTTCGCTTCCTGGTGGGGGGAAGCTGTGCAACCATCGCAAATTCGGAGCCCGTGGCATGCGGTCCAATGGTGAACTTCATCATTTTTGGCGCACATTTAGGACCGCCATATTGGCATTGTAACATTGTATCAGAGGCATGATTATTTATAATGGCTCTTAATTTCAACAAAGGTGAAGCACGTGTGATCGATCATATTTAATAATGTCAGCATGATGCTTATAACTCATTTTAATTAGTAACCAAAACGTGTTTTTTTGGGCTTACGTAAATTGGGTTCAGTTAGAATTTTGAAGAAATAATATAATGCAACTTCAATGCTGAATATTGGCAGGTTATACAAATGGCATTTTTGCTGTTAATTGTGAGTGTAAGCTTGAACACTACCATAAGAGTGCCATCCAGCATTAGTTTAACTTATACAATCGTTGATTGTGATTTTTCGTAAAACAGCTTTATAAAATATTCACACAGTCATCTCAAAAAAGACCTCTATAAAACAATGTGTATAAGGCTGGAACAGATGCAATGGGATTGCATAGAGAAAGTTACGTAACAAATAAAAAGAAATGCACGACCAATACAGCACGCTTAGCATCCATTACATATCTACATGGCACATTATAATTGTTGTTAACATAACAAATTAGAACAACTGCGCAGTGTTGATATCAAATAAGAATAGCATTGTGATTATCTGCCTATATAAATACAATGAGCGACCATTATAATTTTAAACATTGGACACCCCTTGCTGTTTAAAAAACAAATCAAGTAATTTGCAAGGCAATTTGCCAAAGCCTCAATCATGTTTGGCTGAGTGTATCTGACCTGTATACATATGCCATTTGTGAATGGAAAAATATTCAATCTTTAGAATGAGGTTGCCAAAAAGTCAACTGTTACCACCTGTCTGATGATTTTTGTTTAACAAGTTGTATAGGAGTACTGTTCTGCACACAAGCGGTATTTCGTTGATAGCCCACTTAAACACACATCACCAAAACAGGCAGTGACATATGTAAACTGCTAAATATAATTAATTTGAAAGTGGAATTAATGCATCACACACTCTGCATCATTTGCTCATCACTCACAACATATTATTTACGAATGAGGGAAACATGGCAATTACAGAATGATGAAACGATTCCTAGGTTGTACTTCAAATTCAACATGCGTTTTTAATCGTGAATAATAACCAAACGTATCTGTCACATTATCACACCATCTTACATGTTAACATTGGTTAATATTGAATAAACAACAGTTTAAGTTGATTTGAAGCTTTCTTGACTGCGGGAATTAACTCTTTGGTTCTTTCGGTAAAGTCACGTAGAAACTAAAATAATTAAATAATAGAGTACGACGTTTCAATTGCAACACAAGCAACCGTCATCAGGTATAACTACATTTGAAAGAGAGACAAAACACAGACACGGAGACATACAGACAGACACACAAGCAGAGAGACACACAACATAAACACTCAAAGACCCAATGCCTCTTTGTCGAGGCCTTAAATAGAGAGAGAGGGGGGGGGGACAGAGAGGGAGAGGTGGTAATTTATTTTCTTTCCACGTGACTTTACCGA